CCGCCATAGCCATAGCCGCCGTCAGTGCCAGAGGCTGACTCCAATCTGTACACCTCAGGCACGGCCTCGGGCACGGACGACACGTCCTCCTCGCTGCGCGCGCGGGGTGGGACGGGGCGGGGAGGGTGGGGGGGTTAGCATGGTAACGACGGGGGTTAGCACTCGCTGTGACGTCACTCATGCCCGGCCTTCTGCGGCCCTGTGGAGGCCCAAGGAGAGGCTGCAGCCAACACTTGCACTCCTGCTGCCAAGGTCGCGTGCGCTCGAGCGTCCTCCCATACATCCCGACGCGAGACTCAAGCCTCACACTCACATGAGCCGGCGGCGGGACTCTGCGGCCACGGGCGCGGTCGCCGCCGAGCAGGGCGCGTCCTTGAGGCCCTTGATGCACTTGACGCCGCCCATCGCGCGCGGCAGCTTCTCCGCCAGGAAGCTGCTCACCAGCTGCTCCAGCTGCGCCGCGCTGCGGCCGCCCTGGACCGGCAGCGTCAGCTGCACCTCCACGGGCGTGCTGCAGCAGCAGCCGCCGCGCAGGCAGCCATCGAGCTCGACGAGGTTGACGTAATCGTTGACGGGCCCGAGGTGCAGCTGCTCAAACAGCGGCTCAAAGGCGGCAAAGACGTCCACGCTCGTGTAGGCGAGCCCCTGTGATTCGTGGCAGAGCTGGAAGGCCCTGCAGACCTGGCTGGCGCGGTGCTGTGAGAGGCCCGAACTGCGCAGCGGGACAGGCGAGCACCCGCGTGGGGGGCATTGGCAGTGTCAGCAGCAGGTCCATGCCGAGTGGCCTTCCCCCCGCCGCACCGTTGCTATAGGCGGATGCGTGAAATCCACGTTCATCACACTCGCCGCCTGCCTCTGCCGCAGGTCCCACCCGTGCAACGCACCCCCGCATGTCACTCACTGCGCCTGCGGGGCGGCGCTGTAGCCGAGATGTGTTATGCTGGTGAGGAGTAGCCCCACCAGCATAAGCCGCACAGAGGCGGCGACAGGCCTCATCCGTCTGCAGGATCGAGGAGAGAACGGGAAAGACTGGGTGGGTGGACGTTGTGCCATCGCAGCTAGCCGCGGGTGTCAATGGGCCCATATGCGGGTGCTACACGGCGCTTACGACGCTGTGTGTAATTCTTGTATACAACGAGGCCTCGCGTGGGGGCCTAGAGGCCCGTGCAGGCACAGCGAGCAAATGGCGCCAACTCGGCTGCCACGCGACTGTGCCCTGGAGGCCACTGCAGGACTCGCGAGCGGTCGTAATATGCTAGGTCACTGGTTTTATCGATTATGCGCCATCGAATGCGCCCATAGCCCGTGCCAGCGCACGTCCGCTGGTGCACCTCCGCTAGACCACCGACCTGCAGGACGGAACGTGCTGAGGCCCCGGTGTACGTGTCGGTAGAAATAAAAGCGACCAGCCCGTACGGTCGCAATCAGGTCACGCGAGATGCTGCGACGAAGACACCCCACTATCTGCTTTCGTCGCGGCACCTGGGCCACTTCCTCTTAATCAGCTGGGTGATATGCGTCAATATGCGCAAAGTGAAGTGGTCCTCGCAATCATGCACCCTTTGCGTGGACTCTGGTGTAGCGCGAAGGGCGGGTAGCCGCGCAGTCGACATGCTCAGTGGGCGGCTGCTTGGCAGAGCTGTCGTGGGTCCGCCTCCCGTCATCCTACGGGTGCGAGTGCACGCCCGCCCGCCCGTCCGTCCTCAACGTGTTGGAAGGCCACACGCATGCAAGATGACATACAACGCACTGCAATGTTACCAGGGCAAACGTCGAGCAGTCTTGATGTGTCCCAACACCGCTGCGGCCATCCCATGCGACAAACACAAACTAGTGAATCATCCACTCAATCACATGCCCAATGCCCAAAACTTGTGTGCAGAATCCACTCTTCTCGGTTACTCTTGTATAAAGACTCTTGCACATGCCGGGTCACTCACTACAGTCCAGCCCTGATCCCGCAACAACGCCGCCGCTGCCGCCGATGGCGACGCCGCTGCCCCTCCGCCCTCCAGCCCTGCCCCGCCTGTTGGGGCCCCCGAAACCCCAACCCCCGCCGCCGCCGCCGCCTTTGCCGCCCCCGCCGGCCCCATCGCCCCCGCTGCCGCTGCCGCCGTTGCCGCCGTTGCCGCTGCCGCGGGCTGCAGCCCTGCGCCGTGGCCGTCGGTGGAGGCGAGCCACTGCCTGTAGCGCAGCAGGTCCTTGTCATCCGGCTGCACCTCGCGCCAGAGGCCGCGGCAGAACATGTAGTATGCGTCTGCAGCATACTTCCCAATACCATGCAGCTCGGTGGGGCACGCCCACTGCAACGCCGTGGCGACCCATTGGTGCGAGCACAGGGAATGGGTGTGTCGTCAGCGCAGGGGCTGCGGCTGCCGAGCACAGGCTGCGTGTGATGTACAGATGGCAGTCCTGGCTAGGGCCTTGGTGATGCATGGTGCACTTGGCGCCACATGCAAGCGAAAACGACTGGCAATCAGGAACCGCCTGATCCTTGACGCAGTCACACGTGATGTAGCACACAGACAGACCAGGCCCCCGCATCAGGGCAGCATCGTTCTGATTCAAGGTGCCTGCCCACCTGCTTGTCAAGGTACTCGCGAGAAAACCGCTGCACCGCAGCCGCGCGCTTGTTGAACAGGCCGAGCGGCTTGATGAGGTCGCGGATGGCGGTCTGGTCGGCGGAGGCGGCCGCCTCGGGGGTGGGGCACATTTCAAAAAGCCGCCAGATGACCAGCCGCACCTGCGCGCCAGCCGGGGTCAGGTGCCGGGCACGGGGTAGGGGGTCGAGAGCAAAACAAGCACTGCAAGACGGCTGGCCGGGAAGGGTTCACGGGACGGCATACGCCACGCGCGCTTTCATGCCTGTCGAGGAAGCTGGGGTCAGATAGGGGGGCAGCGACGCCTGCAATTGCGGGGCCACCGCACACCTCCCCCGCCCAGCGTCACGCCCTGCGAACGCGCCTGCTTGCCGCTGGTCTTGTTCAGCAGCATGCATGCCAGCAGCAGCTTCCAGGGGTTGTGGTAGAGCTCCTCCTCTATCAAACCGTACGGCGACGCCGGCGGCTCCCACAGGCAGAGCCGTGGGTCAGGCGCGCCGGGCGAGAGCAGGTGCGCGTACGCGCCCTTCTTCAACGGGGTGGCCTTGGGCCGATGCCGCCGCGCCGCCGGCGCCCTGCTGGGCGCTGGCGCCTCCCGGCTGCCGGCTTCGTCGCCACCGTTTGCGCCGCCGCCGCCGCCGCCGTCGTCGCCGCCGCCGCCATCACTGCTGCTGCCGCCCCTGGTCGGCGGCGTGCCGCCAGTTGCGACGGACGGGGAGGCGGCAGCGGCGAGCAGCTGCCGCATAATTGGCGACTCGTCGCCTTCGCTCTCGTCTGCACTCCCGCCACCACCGCTGCGACTGCTTGTGGCGCCTCCGCTGTCCTTGCTATTGCCTTGCTCTAGAGAGCGGGCCCTGCCGCCGCGCCGCACCCGCGCAGTCGCCGCCGCCCCCACACCTCGGCCGCGCTTCGGCGTGAGCAGCGGCGACGGCTGCTGCGAGCCTGGCAGCCGCGGCTGCAGCAGCTGGTGCTGCCGGGCCTGCTGCACGACCTTCATGCGCTCGCCCAGCAGCTGCAGGAAGCTGTCCCGGCTGGGAGGCGTGGACGGCGGCCGCTGGAGCCCGGCTGGGTCGCCAGGGCCTGCGTCGGCTGAGCGCACCGCGGCCTCGATGGCGCTGTCGTGCGCTCCGCTGTGCACCGGGCCACACTGCTTTTCCCGCCGTTGGCCTGCCTGCTCTTCTCTATCTCCCCTCTCTTCTTCGTGTACCAGCTGCTGCTGCTGCTGCTGCTGCTGCTGCTGCTGCTGCTGCTGCTGCTGCTGCTGCTGCATTCGACAACATGTATGCTCATCCTGCTGCTGCTCCTGCTGCTGCTCCTGCTGCTGCTCCTGCTGCTGAGGCCCGCCCGCAACTGGGGCCGCAAGAACACGACGGTCCCGCCCTCGCCGCCGCTTGGCGGCCCCAGAGGCAGCAACCGGCTGCTCCTTATCAGTGTCGAGAGCAGTGCCTGCGATGACATGCCGTTGACTGCGCTTGCGGCGGCTGACGGCTCCATGTGGCTCCGGGACCGGCGCATTTGCAAGTGACGTCGTGACTGCAGCTTTGGTCGCCAGGTGTGCGCGTGTGCCACGCGGTGTGAAGCCAGGCATGCGGCAGCGGGTGCAGCCTCGAGAGGCCCATCTACACCGTGCACATCCCAGCGCACTGGGCTCCGTCATTGCCGAGCGGAACTTTTTGATCTGCTAGCAGTGTCTGAACAGTGATGTGTTGATGTATTACTTGGGACGAAATGATAACGTATGCAATCATTGCTGTGGCGAACAAGCAAGTTTGTGTCGGGAGTGGTTGGATGGACGCTGGGGTCGTGGCCGCCTGATGTGGTGTCGTCAGCGAGCACAGCACCTCTAAACGTTGTGGCGAACTTATGATATCGTCGCTGCCGCCCTGGCGAGAGGATTTATATGGTACATGTGGGTCCTTACCAGTCTGGCTATAGATGATCGCTAATCATGCCAGCAAAGATGAGCACAAGTTCACTTGTGACGAGGGGCTGGCCGCCGCCCAACACAGCTGGCTAGTAGCAGGGTGCCAAGCAGATGGGGTAACCTTGCCCCAAACCACATGACCATGGCCATGATGAAGCAACAAACTCGCTCACCTCCGTCATGCACTGGACCCACTGTGTTGCTGCCAGTGCAACTCTACGTGCCACTCCCCGCCTGCTCACACGCACCTCGAGCATTGTACAGGACCAGCCACATCTTTGATGGACTGCAAATGCAGCTGTTGACTCCAAAAATACTCACAAACAAGAAACCTGCGCAGTTTGTCTTGTACATGCTCTTTCATTGCACGCTGGGCCTCCGCAGAGGGCGGATATCACCACAAACACCCAATCATCTCAAAACGCACAGCGCCCAGAAACCTGCCTATGCCAAGACGCCTGGCTGCCTACACAACCTCCATGCCAACCCCGTCGCTGTCGTCATCGCTGCAGTGGTGCATGTCCCCGTCACCATCATCCTCCACGACCACCATCCCCCGCTGCCGTGCGACAGATGCCGCTGCAGCCACAGGCGCAGGCGCAGGGACTGACGCGGCTGCAGCGGCCGGCAGCGGCGGCAGCACGTCGTCCCACACTGCGTCGTCCACGTGATCTTCCTCCGGTAGTTCTAGCGCCGGCTGCTGATATGTGCTGCTACCGTGATAATGATGCTGCTGTGGTTGCGGGGCTGGCTGCTGCGGCTGCTGCTGCGGCGGCGGCTGCGACGTCCGCGGCAGCTGCTGTTCCTGCTGCTGTTCCTGCTGCTGTTGATCGTCCTCTTCCTCCTGCTGCTGCTGCTGCTGCTGCTGCTGCTGCGGTTGTCCCTGCTGTTGTGCTGGGGGCTGCTCCTCCTCCTCCTGCCCGGGTCCCTCCTCCTGCTCCTCCTCGTCCCCAAACAGGGCCGCATTCAGCTCGTCTCCAAACGCGCAAGAGGGAAGTGGCTGCGTGGGTTGCTGCCCCGCCAGCCCCGCCGCTGCCGCCGCCTCTGCAACTGCTGCTGATGCTGCAGCATCGTGCGTCTGTGGCTGCGCTCCGATGTCAGTGAGCAAACTTGCACCTGGTGCGACGCCTCGCTGGAGCCTGGCAAGTCAATGGAAGCAGTAAAGTAGGGTCTCAGCGGGTGGCGCTGTTGGCCAGCAGCGCTTGCTGCCCCAATCACGAAGGCACCGGGCGCCTTTGAACCGTCGCGCTAGCAATCTCACAAGCACAAGTGCCCTGCCAGCCGCCAAGCAGCCAACGTACACAACCTCCCACCTTGTGGCGATCTTGTATGTCACAGTCTCCAACGTCCACTGGCCAGACGCCTGATCGAAAATGGCTACGCATTCGACATCAGCGTTGCCAGTGGCGCCATTCCCGGTGGCGCCAGTGGGGTTTGCCTCTTCCAGCTGCCCCTGGAAATAGACGGGGTCGTTCTCGCCAGCTGGAAGGTGTGGCAGCAGGTAAAACTATGCACAGGTTGACAAGAGGCAGGGCGCCGCGTGGTGACGGTTGGAAACGTTGGGCATGGGTCGTCATGCAGTCCGCTCCGTGCAAGGGAGGCTGGCAAGCTCACTGTCACTATCATAGTGCTGGAGATGGTACGACCTATCTGTGGTTGAAAGCATCAGCACCGTCGCTGGTGTGGCAGGCGCATCACGGCACCAACAGCAACAGCAACACAAGCGGCGGCGATGGCGCCATTTCAGCGTCGCGCACCGTCTGTGCTTCTGCATCATCCGCGTCCATTGTGTACAAGTGTCCCGTATTCGCTCGCTGCACCGACTGGGGCACAAAGTTGCGGCTCAGGGACACCAGGATGGGCCCATCGTCTCCTGTGAGGGAGGCCCCCACGACCAAGGGGAACTCCCCGTCCATGCCACACGGCCTGAACTCTAGTCACATAACCGGCTATTCAGGCAGCCACCAAACCGGCCGATCTAGCGACTTGCTGACCAACCACACTTGCAAACTGCAATGGATGGCGTTTTGTATCTGTGACCAGTGTAACACAGTTGCATCGCATCAAACAAGGCCACAGTGAGGGCTGCAACTGCATGTGGGCATGGGCCCCTTGGAGGCACTCGCAGCGCGCACAGCACACCGTTGACCTCCTGGACCGCTGGCACATCCAGGGGCCCTGATGGAGCTACTGCGCAACACAACACCCCAAAGCAGACCCATCACAACGGATCCTGCAGCTCGCGCGCCGCCCGCCGCCGCTCCTTGAACCAGGCTGCGTACTCCCCAAGCTGCCCCGCCACCACTGCCTCGCGCATGCTCTCAAAGAAACCCAGCCACCAGTGCGTGTTGTGGATCTCCAGCAGAACAGAAGCCAGCATCTCGTGCGTGTGCAGCAGGTGGTGCACGTAGGCACGGGTGTGATTGCGGCAGGCAAAGCAAGTGCAGCCCTCCACGAGCGGCGCCTTGTCGGTGCTGGGGGAGCGTGTGCAGCAGCAGCATGGGGCATGAGACCGTGCAGCATGTCATGCATGCATGCAGCAGCCTCCAGCATGCCTCCCCCAGTAAGGGGAACTTCTGCACTGTCAAGACTGGCGCAAGGCGGCTCCCCACTTTGCCTCGCAACAGCTGTGCACCAGCCGGCGGTTTGACAACGTGCTTGCTGCAGTTGGGCCGCCTCACCTGTACTCCAGAGACCACAGGTTAACTTTCGAGTCATCCGCGCCGGCCTGCGCCCCTGCCGCCGCCGCCCCTTCTGCCGCCGCCGCTGCCGCCGCCGCCCCCTCACCCGACTCATCGTTGCTGGCGGGCATGCGCTGCGGGAAGCTCAGCGCGTAGCCGTTGAGGGTGGCGTGTGTGGGGTAGCCGCAGTCGAACAGGTCAGCGCCCTGCACGACGCCCTCCAACGCCTCCTCCGGCGTTGCCTGCTCGCGTGACGTTTGACAGCAGCGCGCGGATCACGCAGTCAATCACGAAGCCACCAAGGCTCAAACCAGGCCGCCAGCCGCTGCCGGCGCGGCTCAAGGCACGGAAAGAGCACACCCCAAGCAAGCTGCGTGCCGCCACGCCAGAGACCACATGCAGTCCCGTCCAAGAAGCGCCGGCACACGCGCATGCTTGGGGGCCCACCATGCCAAGCAGAAGCCGCGGCTTGTCTGCCGGCAGCTCTGCCACTGCTGCGCTTAGGAGCTGGGGGTGCAGGGCGGCGTCCTCGCCCATGCCAAAGCCGCAGAGAGCGAAGCCTGTTGGCAGCAAGAAGCACACAAGTTGTGTGCGACGCGTTGGGCCAAGCCGTGGGGTCGCAAGGCATTTGCTGGCTGGCTGGCCGTGTCGGTCCATCTCGGCAACAGCTTTGCCGCTATGGCGGTTTGTAAATGGTGCAAACTACGTAAGCTCACCTGCGACAGGCTTGGACGCCACTGCCTTGGCGGAACGCACCCTCTCTTCAGGGAACCTGCTGCCCATCACCGGCGCCAGCACCAGAGGCGGCTCGAGCATAGCTTGCGCCGCCACACCGCCTTTGTCGCCAACGCTGCCGCCACCGCCGCCGCCGCTGCCATCACCACCGCCTCCGTCGGTGCCCTGCTCGAGCCGCTGCCGCTTTGCAGGCTGCTCGTCTTGCTCCGCTGCCGCGTCCGCGTCCCCCCGTCGCCAACGCTGCTGTTGTTCGGCGGCGTCGCCGCCCTGCTGCCCGTCGGCGCCTTCTTGGTGATGCCGCACGTGGTGTTGCTGCTCCCGGCGGACTCCGCTCAGCCGCGCCAGGCATGCGTCCAGCCACTGCAGGGTCCGGTCCACTGACTGCACCGTGCGCTTTCTGCTCGCGTCACCCGGCACCTGCGGCGAAAGCCGGCGCCGAAGCCTCACACGGGGCCCGTTTGATCGCCCAAGGAGTGCAGGCGTTGCCACAGTGCAGCAGGCACTCCTACAGTGAGTGTGAGTTGGCGGGCAACGACTGTCGTTCCGCACAGCCCATGCGGTTAACTGCGCCACAGGGACCTCTTGTCAGATATCTCTTCCACCTGCGGCCCGCACGCACCTCATCCGCGATGGGCACAAATATTTCAGGCTGCACTGCCTCGATGACATCCATGTAATCCGAAGGGGTGACCTGGGTGGGCGACGCACAGGCCGTCAGCGACGGGTGCGGCGCGGACCGTGCGTTGCACCCTGCATTGCACGACCGCGGGCTGCAGTAGCGCCGGTGCATGAAAGTGCGGTAAGAGCACGCCGAAATACAATGTGCAGGGGCGCATGGCGCTGAGCCACTGAGGTTTGCTGCAAGCGCAGTTGGCATCATCGCTACGCACCATCTGCCCGCCACTGTGGATGATGGCGTAGCAGCCATTATTGTTGGCGGACTTTCCCGCAGTGCCATATTCTTGTAGCGTGGGGTCCCGATTGGTGGCAAGCATGGGCCAGCGCGGCGCTCCAATGAAGTGGTGGAGGCTCACGCCGGTCTTCGTCAGCTGTGCCGCGCTCGGCTGCTTCAGGCTGCATCAGCGGCACAGGAGCAACGCGCAAGACGCAAGCCGTTGGCGCTGAACTTCATCGCATGGGCTTGAAATCAGATGTTATCTTTTATCAGGCGGGCCCCTCCCTACTCACAACTGCATGGCATTGATCTGGATGCCCTGCGCCTGTGGCCGCAGCTTTTCCATCATGTCTGGAGTAAGATACATGCAGCCGCCTCTTCGCGTGTAAAGGAGTGCCGTGGGCGTGCGAATGACCCCCTGACGCGTGATCAAGCTGCCGGCCCTCGCGCAAGCGCTCTCCGCCTGGACGCTGAAGAACTGCATCGTTTCGAGCTCACTCATGTCGATCAGATATGACACCGGGCGCCTCCTGGCGGCCTCATGAGACTTGCGCTCGAAGCGGTCCACATTGTCGCTCGGAGGGTCAACACCATGCCGCCCAGTGACTGGAAGTGCGACTGTAAGACGCCACATGCCGCTCGATGTGACTTCATGATAAGGGTGCATGCAAGGTGCCAAGCCATGCAACGGCTAGAAGATACCCGCTTGACGTGCGCCGGGTCAGCAGAGAGGATCAAAGCTGGGATGCATGGTCTGGCATGTTGCTGGCTAGTCCTCTGTTCTTGCCGTGAGGCCACCCTTCAGCAGCTGCTGCACCCGGGACACGTGACCTAGCAGCGCGTATCCAAAAAAGTGGCGGCAGCATCCACAACTGGTGGACTTCACCAGCTGTGCACGCGAGGCTGGGCGGAATGCGTTTTCAACCCATTGGTGTGGACTGACAGTCGAGCCACATCCTTTGGGCTGGTTGATAGCTGTATCAGTGTCACAGCAGCAGAAACGGTCGTAGTGGACGTGTCAGCAGCAGGAGGAGGAGGCCCCTCTCAGAGGGTCAATTGCGCTTGCCGCTTGTTATGTGCTTGAAAATTGAACTCTAGTATTTCATGCCTGGGCCTGCAGTTGCCTGCTTGCGCAAGTCCGCTACAACCTGCTCCGCGCTGCAAAGGATGTGCACACCCGCTCGTGGCACTCGCTGCGCTCTCCATCCGCGGCCTTGATCACGTGCCCACCATCTGCTTGTTGCAAGTGCTGCTGAGTGTGAAACCCAGCACGCTTGCCCACTGGCCCTTGCGAGGAGGACACACCTGCACCAAATCCTGCAGTGCCAGCTGCACGCATACCTGTTACTCACAATAATCTATCACAAAGGAGCGTGCCACCAGCTAGTCAACCTATGCATCCAGTGTGAGACATATTCCGCAGTGGGACACATGCGTGTGGCGGCAACGGCGGAACGTCGCGCCCCGCGGCGCGTTGAATGGCACGCGTCGTGTCGTTAGGCCGCCATACATGAATCTCTTGGCGGCTTCACGCACGCAGCACGTGCCTGTGGCAGAGCAGAAAATCGCGCACGCCACACAGGAAGGTCAATGAAGGTTGCCTCGTACAGATCGCAAGCTGGGGCCACTTGGGACACTCTGTAGGCATACTAGGCTCTGAAGCCAGCTCCTTTGGCCTCCACACCCCTGCTTTCACCGCACCTCCCCCCCGGGGGAAAGCTGGATCGCGTCACTAGCGGCAGTTGACTCAGTCGGTGCCGCCGCTTCCAGTACCCCGCAGGCCAAAACATTTACATCACTAGAAAATTTCGTTCCAGCATATTAAGTGCTCGCGGCAGCCGTGGGCGGCCGTCGTGGGACTCGAGTGACCCGCTGCCGCTCATTTGGTTTCTAGGCTTCATCCCGCGGCGTTTCTGAACACCCCACGGTTGACTTTTATCACATCGAACAAGTTGTAACACGTTGGCGTGCTTCTCGGCTAGGTCACCCAGATGCGGACCTCCAGCGGTGAGGCTATGCCACCGGCCGCGTGGTGGGCCTCCGTAGCCCAGACGAGGCTTGGGACGACGTGCCACACACCCCACGCGGTCGAGTACGCGTGGTGGCAGCCTTGCCACCTCTAGAGCCCCTCACGACACCCCCCGCCGCCCACGCACCGCACCCCCATCAGTACTTCTCCTCGCCGTGGCGGCGCTGGCGCTGGTCGCTGGCGCCACCTCGGCTGACATTGCTGCTTCGTCCACGGCCGGCAAGACCTACAAGGGGTACACCTTCGCCACCGATACAGCGCGTGAGCATCGAGTCAGATCACCCATTGCGCGTTGTTGCGCACATGGGCGCGCACGGGCCGGCGCGCCCGCGGCGCGGGCGGCTGCGTGCACGGGCGCCCACCGCCCGGCGGCGCGGGCGCTGTGGTATCACGTGTGGCTGGCAGGGTGGCTGCGTGCACCACTGTGCAAGTCAGGCCCAGGGTGACGCATGCGTTGCCAGATAACCCCGCGGCTCTTGCCCATGAACATCCGAGCGAATACTGGCCTGGAGCAGCCTTTTGGGTTTGTGCTGTACGCACACGCTCGCGCATGTGCACGTGCGCACACACACACACACACACACACACACTGTCCCCAAACACAAGCACGCATGCTCGCCACAATTCCGCATGCGCAAGACGCACGACTGGCCCCCGTCCCCGCCGCGCCCCGCAGCCTACCTGAACATTTCCCGGGATATCTGCCTCATCAAGAAGGTCCTCAACACCAAGCAGCCCGACTACACATTTGCCAAGGTGGGTCGCGAGAGCCGCGCGCTGACGCTGCAAACGAAACGGCCGAAAGCGGGGTCGCTGGCATGTCGCAAGGGCCGGACATCGGGCCCCGCCTTGCTCAGCAAATTGGGGCGCTCACCGGCTCGGCAGCCGTGCCTTGCGGCAAGCTGGCGGCGCACCTGGGTGCTAGGCTGCGGCCCGTGCACGGCGGGCTCCCTGCACGACCGAGGCTCATGCGCCTGTGGTCGCTCGGCCGCAGGGGATCTACATGGATGGCTACTACGGGAAGCTGGCCTCCAAGGACGGCGGCCTCATCGCCATGCGCCGCATGGGTGCGTAGACGAGTGCCGGCCTGGTTTGGGGCGCAAAGATCGCGCTGCTGCCGCCCCTGCTGCACACGCCCCGGCGCGCCGCGCGGCCTGGACCGCACACGCGCGGTCGCGCGGGGGTGACGCTTCGCAGGCGCCTCACCGCGCGTCGCCCCCTTTTGACCCACTCGCGCCCCGCAGCCACTGACGTCAAGACCAACGAGCCCCTGTGGACCCAGTACCAGAAGCACTTCAGTGAGCGCGCTGCCCGCATTATGCGCACGCCCACCTGCCCCGCACCTTCCACGCCCCCGCCCCGGCCTGCCTTGCGAAGCAGCACGCGCGGTCAGCGGCTGCCGGTACCATCATCATCTGGGCCCCCGCCCCACCCGCCCCGTGCATGCTGGTCTCATACGCCTCCCCACGTCCACACCTTCTCCGCCACCCAGACAACCCCGTGTGGCTGGATGACCTCCTGGTGCGCGCGTTCGGCAAGGTGCCCCCTTATGACAGCGACAAGGCCCGCGTGCAGCTGATCGTCAAGACCCTGGAGAGCAGCCTGCAGGTGCGGGCCAGGGGCGACGCCAACTGTTATCTCTTGCACGCCTGCGCCGCCGATGGGGACGCTGGGCGCCGCGAGGGTTGCTCGAAGGGGCTTGCACTGGGGGCCGCGGCCGCCCCACCCCCCACTGCCTGAGTATCTCACCTGCCGCGCTTATTGTGCTCTCTCCTTGCCACCCCTCAGGTCTCTTACCTCTTCCACGAGCTGGACCAGGCTATCAATGAGGTCCAGTGAGTTTGCGGGGGGTCCGTGCATGTCAGCGCCGTCAACCAGTCGTTTGCGGCCGCTCCCGCCGCTCCTCACTCGGACGAGCAGTATTCCCAGGACACCTCTTTCTGCTCGCAAACAAGCCCACTGCACCACCCGCGGGGCTGCACCCTTGGGTGCGCTGGAAACCAGGCGGCCTCTACGTGTACAATCACTTCCGCCCCTGCTGACGTCGCCCCTCCCTCGGCTGCCGCGTTGTGCGCAGGGCCAAGAAGGCGAACGCCTCCCTGGATGTTGACCCCGTCTACCGCGTTGACAAGGCCTGGGCCATCTTCGTGGGCGCCGACACCGACTGCGGCCTGTGAGCGCGCCGGGGCGTCCACGCGCACCGGCCGCGCCCTGCCAGCACAGCCGCGTCCCGCTGCGCGGCATGCCGCGCGGCGTGGCGCTCGACCCCGCACCACTGGCCACGGCGCACCGCTGGCCTGACGCCGCCTCGCTGTTTGTGTTGTGGCTGTTGGGTGCCCCTCACCTCGCCCACGAACCCGCTCGCTGGTGCCGCCCCCAGGTGGACCGTGTCGCTCAAGCGCGCCACCCAGTTTGGCACCAAGAAGGACTGCGAGACCAGGTGCGCGGCCCAGCCGCGCCGCGGCGCGCCCCCGCAGCAGATCCCCGCGTGCATCCGCCACCGCCCCCCTTTTCGTGCAGAGCGCAGCCCACCTCAAAGACCCTTTATTTACCTCTCACCCCCCTCCCCCTGTCTTGGCGTTGTGTGGTGTGACGTCATCGCAGCAACGCCGCCGCCAAGATCCGCGACGCCCTTATCAAGGCCCAGAAGGCCGCCAAGGCGCTGGACCTGCCTGCCCTGAAGGCCGCCCGCGACACTGTTGTCCAGCAGATCTCTGCGATCTACGTCCAGGTGCGTCCCTGTGTGTGTGTGTGTGTGTGTGTGCGCGCGTGCGCGTGCGCACGCGTGCATATGCCTGCGTGTCAGCATGTGGGTGGGTGTGGGGTTCAGCTGTGCATGTGCGCACGTGTGTGTGTGTGTGTGTGTGTGTGTGCGTGTGCGTGTGTGTGTCCGTGTGTGTGTGTCCGTGCTGCCTGCGCATGTGTGAGCTTGTGCGTGGACCACCACCGTCACCCCGCAAAGCGCCGCAAGTGCACGTG